CACACACACACACACACACACACACACACACACAATTTTTCCCCCTTTAATAAAGTCTCATGAAAATCTAGGAGTAGGTACCATTATCTTCCCTATTTTACAGACGACATAATGGAGGCTCAGAGAGGTTAAGCAACCAGCCCAGGGACCCACAGCAGGTCAACGGCAGAGCCCAGGTTTGAGCTCCGTCTTGCGTGACCCCCACCTCCAGCCTGGCCCTTCCCTCTCAGGGGATGCCTGAGGGCCAGTTCCACAGCCTCTTTTCTCACGGCTGGGCTGTCCCTTCCTTTTCTCGTGCCCCTTCCTGAGCTGCCCACACCAAACCGGCTCGATGGTGTTTTCCAGTGACGACACGCCTCATGTGCCCAATGAGAGGCTGGGAGAGGCAGCCGTGCTGGCAATTGTGGACCGCCTGACCAGGCTCATCAGAGAGGTCTTTCCAGGTAAGACTCTGTCATTGGTTCCCCTGAAGCAGTTCCGGAACCCCAGGCGGTGTCCGGCACGGTGGGAGAGCAACAGCAGCAAGATGTGGAGGAGCGACCTTCAACCACGGGCAGCACTGGCTGCTGGCCAAGTCCCCGGCGGGGCACTTCACGGCGATTGATTGTTTCTTCCCTTCCAGCAACGCTGCAAAGAATGTGAGACATCACCGGCCTGTGTTTACACGCAGCATCCCATTAACAGAAATGCCTGACATTTCGCTGCCTTCTGCCCTTGCCTGTTTAACACAGACTCACGGCCCCTTCTCAGGGCATCTACGGTTACATACGGGCACGGTTCCCAGGAAGTCTCACGGGGACTCGCAGAGAGCCCCATGTCCTGCGGTGGCCCCAGGGCTGCCATCCACTGCCCTGAAACCATCCTGGCTACAGGGGCCTCCGGGAGATGCTGGGCTCCAGCTAAGGTGCTGTCCTTGCGCTTCTAGGGCTTTCAGAGCCTAGGAGGGCAGGCAGAGCTGTGAGTGATGATGGCAGCAGTCCCATGGAACATGACAAGGAGAATGATATCCGCATCCCTCACCTAACGGACCCTGAAAATGTTTTTAAGCAGCCTGTGCCAAACACGAGGTCCTGGGGGCTGAATCGGGCTCCTGGGCTGCCAGCTGGGGACCCGTGAGAGCAGCCCACTAGCCCCCCACTCCCTTCCTTTGGGTTCTGGTACAGCTGCATCCTCTAAAGGCCTTAGTCATGGGTCCCCAGGACCCAGATATGGGCTAATGATGATACAAATAAATATGGCAGCAGCAGTGACTACACGCATCTATGCATCCAGTGCTACATGTCAGGCACTGTTCTAAGAACATTACATGCTTTAGCTCCTTGCGATAATCCTGGAGGGACGTGCTATTACTGTTTCAACTTTCCCGGTGAGAAATGTGAGCCTCCGAGTCAAGTAAACTGGTCAAGGTCACGTGGCAAGGGGGAGGACACAAATCCAGCTCTGAGCGCCACTCTTATCCACCACTGCCACTGCCACTCCAGGAGGGGCCCTGTGCTGTCACCACCCCACATCTGTCCTCCAGGCAACCTTTCTGCCACCTTCTTCCCTCGACGGGAATCATTTTATGCAGCATGGTCTAGTTGTCTGGACACATAGATGAGGAACCTATGGCTCAGAGCCAGTCAGTTCCCAGGGAGGGACTCAAACTCATCCAACCCTGAGCCCTCTTTCCTTGGCTCCCCACGCACTTCGGGAATAAAAGCGGAACGATGGCTGAGAAAATGCTTTCTAAGTATTAGTTAACACACAAACATAAGTTAGAAGATCCTCTAGCTTATAACACACTTGCACAGTTACTGAATTTCCTAATATTCCAGACGCTATCAACTGTAAGTCGCATCATATTTTATGTATTGCTAAGGACAAAAACGCTGTTAATTCAAGTACGACAGTGCTTCCTCATGGCCTCAGTAAGTTACACTCCGCCTGTAGAGATGTTAAAATAGAACATACTAGAAGAGTTCAAATCGAATGGGTCCCGCGACCCCTGGGATCGGGACCTGAGTCAAAATCAAGAGTCAGATGCTTAACCGACTGAGCCACCCAGGCACCCCGAGGCATTATCTGAGAATTACAGCAACACAGGTCAAGCAAGCACTCTCCGTTTTATTGATAAATAAAGCCGGAGCACTGAGAAGTCAAGCAAATTGCTGCAGGGGAGGAAGGGACCGCAACTCCGGATTTCGGATCCACATCGTGTGTCATGCGTTCTTCCGGCCACGTGCCACCTGTGTTCCCCATCAGAGTCACTGTGAACCCCGACCCCTCTCCTCCAGCATGGCTGAGTGGTGAATGCAGGTGTGCTGGGCAAACAGATCTCAGTCCCGATTCAGTCTCTGCCAGTTCCCACAGGGCAATGCCCTGGAGACTCAGTTTCCTCTCTGTGCAAAAAGAGGAGAAGAACGGTACCTGCCCAGAAGGTGGTTGTCAGGATTAAGCAATCCACTCACTCATTTAGTGAGTCAACAAATATTGAGCGTCTTATTCTTACTGTGAGTGAGATACCATTCTAGGGGGGAGGGAACTTGGCCAGGTTGTGCCCTCATGGAGCTTGTGCTTGTCAGAAGCTTCTAACCGTGCCTGGTACAAAGAAGCAGCGAAGGAAGGAGAGAGTTCCTCCCTTCTCATCTGTTCTTAGAATTCCAGGGATTGTGGGGTTTGGGGCATTTTTTTTTAAACGGCTTCTTTTTCTTTTTCTTCTTCTTTTCTGAGAGAGCACGAGAGAGTGTGCATGAGGGAGGGGCAGAGAGAGGGGTGGGGGGGAAAGAGAGAAACTTAAGCAGGCTCCGTGCCCAGTGCAGGGCCCGACTTGGGGCTTGATCTCATGACCGTTAGACCACGATCTGAAGCCTAAACCAAGAGTCGGATGCTCAACTGACCGAGCCACCCAGGTGCCCCTGAAATGGATTCTTAAAGGCTGGTGGCATTTGTGTTAAAGAGGCGAGGGTTTTCCAGGCAGGTACAGTGAGGGCTTCTGCCTTTGCAAACAATTCTTGATGGGAATTTTACAACCTCCTCCTTCAGCAGACCTTTTAGCACTTTCAGATCTTGTAGGCTCTACAGCGCAAAAAGTCTCTGTGAAAATATCTCTCCAAGTGGGAACTGGAGGCTCCATCCTCCCTCATTGGTTCAAGGTCAGTCCCTGGGGAACGCCAGGCTAAGGGCAAAACCCTGCCCTGAGCTCAGAGGGGTTTTTATTCATTGTCAAACTTTTTTTTGTAATGTTTATTTATTCTAGAGAGAGACAGAGACAGAGCATGAGCGAGAGAGGGGCACAGAATCTGAAGCAGGCTCCAGGCTCCGAGCTGGGGCTCAAACTCAACAGCCATGAGATCATGACCTGAGCTGAAGACAGGTGCCCCGTGTTTATTGTGAAACTTTTTTTTTTTTTAAGTTTTATTTTTATTTTTGAGACAGAGAGAGACAGAGCATGAACAGGGGAGGGGCAGAGAGAGAGGGAGACACAGAATCTGAAACAGGCTCCAGGCTCTGAGCTGTCAGCACAGAGCCCGACGCGGGGCTCGAACTCACGGACCGCGAGATCGTGACCTGAGCCGAAGTCGGATGCTTAACCGACCGAGCCACCCAGGCGCCCCTATTGTGAAACTTTTATTGAGAAACTACTACTTGCCAGACACAGAAGTAAAATACAAGCAAGAATGAGGCTACTTCTGGGGAGGAAATGAGTCTGATGGGCTCCCTCCCCACAGGAGTCATTCACAAGCCACTTCCTTTCCTTCCTTTCCTTCCATCCCCCACCCTGTTGTAGGCTTCTATTGCAAGTGGCTCTTCCCTTTTTTGTGACACCCTCACACCTCTAATTACTCAATACCTGTCAACCCCACTGCACTGCAAGACCCCTGGGACGGGGACTGGGTGCCTGGTTCCCAGATCTACATGAGGTGCTTGATAAACACCCCTTGACTCACGAATGAGTGAAACTCCTAAGGCTCCCCGAGTGAACCAAACCCTTTCTCTAAAAGTCAGTGGACCTGGAATCGACAAGAAACAAGGAGCACTAAATTGCCAAGGGGCTGATAATGGATGTGAAGATTATTTAGGTCTTCTAGCCTTCTTCTTCTCAACCTCTGACGCTTCCTTCCGACCAGGGAACTTTATGCTGGGAATGGGGTTCGGAACTGGGATCAGAGAACTCACGGCTCTTCCTTCCCAGGTCTGAGCAACGTTCAGCCAGATTCTACTGAATGTGGTTTTCTGCTTATCTCTGTATTTTCCTCATTTGTGCTACGGCGTTTCTCCATTAGCGCGGACGGCTCCTAGCGGGCCGAAAATGACTAACTCCACCAAGCGCTTTCACATAAATATGTTTACATTTCTCTTTTTCCCGCCCAGGTACTAAAGTCTACGCTGCTTTGGGGAATCATGACTTTCACCCCAAGAACCAGCTCCCAGCAGGGAGCAACAGCATCTATGATCAGGTAGCAGAACTGTGGAGGCCCTGGCTCAGTAACGAATCCATCGCTCTCTTCAAAGAAGGTACTAGCACCATCTGCAGCTATAAGCACTTACTTGTATGCCAAGGTCTGATTGAATTTTGTCTTCAACACGACCCCGTGAAACAGGTACTGATTTTATCCCCATTTTACGGATAAGGAGCCAGAGGTTTGAAGATGTCGAGTCACTTGGCCAAGATCAGCCAGCTTAGAGATGGCCGACTCCAGTGCCCATACACTCCACCCCATGGCACTAGCGAGGATCATAAATGAATGTTTATTGAGCATATACTGTGTGCCAGGCACTTACTCTCAGCACATGCCGAGACCCCTCCCAAAAACCCTAGGAAGGCGCAGTGACCTCCGGTTGAGGCCGGGTTTCCCATCCTTGGCACTGTTCACACCTCAGGCCGGATAATTCACCGTGGGGGCCGTCCTGTGTGTTGTAGGGTGCATAGCAGCATCCAAGCCCTCTAACCACCGGATACCAGTAACACCCTCCACTGTGATAACCAAACATGTCTCCAGCCCCTGCCACATGGTTCCTGGGGGACAAAATCAGTGGCTGAGAGCCACCGATCCAGAGACACAGCCAGCACAAGGTGACCCTGGCTTACTCTCTTCCCTGTCCTCAGTTCCAAATGGTGAAAACCCAACCAGAAGCCCGCGGGTTTAGTCCACAGAGATCAGCTTCTGGGACAGAGTGTTGAGTGAATGGGGCTGACAGCGGATCTGGAGGGACAAATGCTTCTTGCTGTTATGCACATTAGAGAGAGGAGGAAACCGAAGCACGGGGAGGTGAAGTAAACACTTTCTCACGCTGCACAGCTACTAACTGCTAGAGCCAGGACTTGAACCTAGGCTGGGTGCCTCCAGAGCCTCTAGTTTTACTCACCGTGCCCCTCCTATGGGAAAGATGGGAAGGGAGGACACAAGGGCAGCAGACGGTGGGCATGGAGTGGAGGGCACAGAGGTCCCTTCAGATCCTCTCTGGCTGTGACGTCTTAGGTGCCTTCTATGCCGAGAAGCTGCCTGGACTGAGTGGGGCTGGGCGAGTCGTGGTCCTCAACACCAACCTGTACTACGGCAACAATGAGCAAACAGCGGGCATGGCCGACCCCGCTCGGCAGTTCCAGTGGTTGGAAGACGTGCTGACCAATGCATCCCGAGCTAAGGAAATGGTAACGGCTCCTGCCTCCACCTCCCACCTCTCTGGGGTCACTTCCTGAAGGAGTCTCCTGCCTCCACACAAACTCACCCAACCACTCAAGATGCCCCCATCACAGAGGGGTCCTTCATCAGCCTGGTACCAGGAGGCAGCTTTTTCCATCCACACAACAGCCTGTGAAAAAGAGAAGAGTATTCTAGGGGCCACCTGGGTGGCTCGGTTGGTTAGCGTCTGACTTTTTTGTTTTTTTGGTGTTTATTTTTGAGAGAGAGGGAGAAAAAGACAGAGCATGGGCAGGGGAGGGGCAGAGAGAGAGGGAGACACAGAATCTGAGGCAGGCTCCAGGCTCTGAGCTGTCAGCACAGAGCCCGACGCGGGGCTGGAACCCATGGACTGTGAGATCATGACCTGAGCAGAAGTTGGACGCTCAACCGACTGAGTCACCCAGGCTCCCCAAGCGTCTGAGTCTTGATTTTGGCTCGGGTCATGATCTCATGATTTGTGGGATCGAGCCCGTCATCGGGCTCCACGCTGACAGGGTAGAGCCTGCTTGGGATTCTCTCTCTCTCTACTTCTCGCTCTGCCCCTCCCTGGCTTACACTCTGTCTCTCTCTCTCTCTCTCAAAATACATAAATAGAAAAATAGAAAAGTGTACCCCAGGTGGCAGGCTTAGCACAAGCAAAGGCACACAGTGGAAAACACCAGGTGAAATCTTTGCTGGGGACCCAGAGTACCGGAATCTGCTTTGCAAAAGTCTGCCTGCCTTTTGGGAAGTGGGCGGGCAGGCGTGAGGGGTCGGGGAGGGAATCCTTGAGCCCCTCCTGGGTACCCCTTCCGTGCAGGTGTACATTATTGGCCACGTGCCCCCAGGGTTCTTTGAGAAGACTCGGAACAAAGCTTGGTTCCGGGAGGGCTTCAATGAGGAGTACTTGAAGGTGGTCCGGAAGCACCATCATGTCATCGCGGGGCAGTTCTTCGGTCACCACCACACTGACAGCTTCCGGATGTTTTATGATGATACAGGTACTCGGCGAGGAGGGCAACTGCCAGCCCAGCCCCCTCCTCCTCTTGCCAGCCTCTCTCAGTCCCACTGTCTCTCTCCTGAAAGGTGCCCCCATCAGCGTCATGTTCCTTACACCGGGGGTCACCCCATGGAAAACCACCTTACCTGGAGTGGTCAACGGGGCCAACAATCCAGGCATCCGGGTATTTGAATATGACCGAACCACACTGAGCCTGCAGGTCAGGAGCCCTGCCTGGGTCTGTTGGGGCCAGAGGAGGAGGGTGGGGAGGGACCTGAATGTATCACTGCCTTGCCTAAGTCCTTCCAGGGAATCCACCTTCTTCTAGAGCTCAGGTTCAGAACCCCTGAGCCACCTCCAAATCCTGCAACCAAATCAGGTCAGTTTTTTGTCCCCAAATCTCCCTTCACCCTAGATCACATTCTCCAACTTGGCCTCCCTGCCTTTAGCCCTGCCCTGCTGTAGCTCGTCTGCTATATACTACAGAAGGAACTAATTTTTTTTTAAGTCCTTCTTGTCTCTCTCCTGCTCAAAAACCTTCAGTGGCTCCCCAGTGCCCAGAAGATAATAAGCTGGATCTCCCTGGCTTGGTATTCAAGGCTTCCGACAGTCGTGACCTCGTGCCCATTGCCCACCTCGTGCCTATACCAACTAGGTCCCAGCCAAAGCAGGCCCCTAACTCATCAAGCAACCCCTCATCTCCTGGGATGTGCTTGCGATTGTTGAAACAGCAAAGAAATATTATTCCTTAATCTATTCAACAAAATATACCAAGCATCGACCGTGTTCCCTGGTTCCCAGGCCCTGAGTTCAGGAGATACATAAGTGAACAATAATAAAGTCACCACTCTCCTGGAGCTGACGTTCTTGCAGGAGACACACAATAAATAAATCAGGAAAGTTAAGCGAGGCATGGAGAGAAGCGCTAAGGAGAAAACAGAGTGAGGAGGCCAGTGTGCCGGCGGTAGGGTATGTATGTATGCTGTGAGATGGGTGAGGCAGGGAAGTGTCACTGATAGGGTGACATTTGAATTCTGAGTAAATCGAGGGAGGGAACCACGTGAGCATGGGTGGGGGGGGGG